TTTTTCTAAAACGGCAGTTTTGTAGAGAAAACATTTCTCTACAAGATGATATATAATAGTTACTTTTAAAGGTTTTTGGTTTCTTTAAAAAGCGTTTTTGATAGAGAGGCGTATCGGTTAATAACCGACCGTAGGTTTGAGAAAAACGCTGTCTAAAAGGAAACAAAAACCTTTAAAAGTAACTATTATATATCATCTTGTAGAGAAATGTTTTCTCTACAAAACTGCCGTTTTAGAAAAATGTTGGAAATCGTTGTTATGAAAATACAAAACATTTATTGTGAATTTTTGAAAAATACGAAAAAATAACCGATGCACTCCTATTTTGGGCCTAGAACTGTTTTTTCATGGTTTTTGAGCAAGTTTTCTGGAAGCCTTGAAAACCAGGATCTTCAAATAATAATTTTTTTCTGGACATGAAGATTTGTAGAGCAGACTTTTCTGATCAAAATAAGACGTTGCACAACTCTGTGTGATCTTGCGTTCAAAAATTACAAGTATTTCCTCCACTCCATAATTTTTTCAAGGAAGGTTCATGAACAGCGGGGAGTGGTCTTATTCTATAACCCAGACTTTCCTCTATATTAGAGTATGTTCAGCTCAAAATGAAACTTTTTTGCAAAAAAAAGAGGAGGGATACGCTTAAGACTTTTTGAGCAAATTAACACTATATTCATTTAACAGCTTTATGCACATACACGTTCTCAGTCAACATTTTTAAGGACATTATATTTCGAAATAATATTCCCCTTTATGTTATAATTTCGGTCCACCGTCAGAGGTATTCATTTTCTTTCTTTCTGGAGATACACCAGACAATGGTGTCAAGCCGGAATTAATACCCAACTTTTCTAATGACTTCGATTGAAAGTCAAATAATTCAAAAACTAAGAGGGATTCTTTTCTAGAAAATAGATTATATTTTTTTACCATACATTTCAGTCCATAAGTCTCGTTTGTATTAAACGACAGTTACAACTTGTGTACTTCAAACTAGTAGAAAAAGTAGAAAAGGATCTTCTCTAGTTAATATAATTTTAACTCGCGAAGTCGGCAGAATATGAAATAAATTTACAGTGAACACCTTCTTCCTTCCCCATATAAAAGATGAACATTCGATTTCTTATTTTATTCTGTAAACAAAAGAATGTTCTATATAAGTAGAATATAGAAAAGAAAACGAAATCAGAACAAAAACGACGCATTTCCATATCTTTGTCTGACGTGATGTTTATTGACTAAGTATATTTGAAAACGGTGATTCGAAAGAAAACGCAGTATCGAGATGAAAACTCTCATCATTTTACTCAAGCAACTTCCTCACCATTCCTTTTCATCAGATGACTACAATGGCGGACATATATACAGGACATGAAAGTCAAAGCCGTTTCATTTGTAAGATACACAAGTCCATCCGTTAGAAATATTGTGTTTAGACACTTTGTTCACACATCTGTGTATAACTTATCATGCGCTTTTTCTCTTCAGATTATTGTCGATCAGCAGAGCAGTTCACGAGACGACATATGACACACATTCTATTTACATTAATTTAATTACAAATAATAAACATACCTGTTAAACAAACGTCATTTTCATATGCATAAAATTAATTTAGTTTTTCACAAGCACATTTTTATTTTTATTTGCCCTAGGCATTTTTCGATCTAATCAAACGAAGTCGAGAAAATGATACTACATACTTTTTATGTGTCAAACCACCTTATTTTCATATATTATGATATGAAAAGAATATTAAGCGTATTCTTTTTTTAATCAAACAGTGAGGAACCTTACTGTTTTATGAGTTTGCACTGATTTGTTATACTTTTTTTTTATCAGAATGATTCAATTTAGCCTAGAGAGGATTAGACACACTATTGCGTATGTAAAATTCATCATTCATTTGAATAATATTTCTCGACTCATATCTAAGAAATTATTTATATTGTGAAACAAAAAAAAAAAAAATAAACCGTTTTTTTCTCTAATAAATAAAGCGTTAAGTTGCATAATTAGTTATAGTCCACATTGTTGGTAGTGTTAATTATTCTTTCCAGTTTGGTATGTATAAAAGTAATGATGTCAATGGCTCTCAAAGTAAGCTAACCATACGGCGATGTGCATCTGCTGCCAATTATTATTCATTACATAATGATACTGGTGATAGTAGTACTGAGACAGCAGAAGAGGGTGATGGTCAAGAGGAAGAAAAAAGAAATAATAATACGGTTTGTCTTTTCGACTAGAGAAGATTTTTCACATAGAAAATTATATAATTTATTTTGATAATTTTAGACATTTGAAACTGATTCTGGTATTGGTTCGTTATCTCAATCTCGCCGGCAAAGTATTTTGACACCAAATAAAATCGTAGCCAGTAGTTCATCAAATATTATTAAAACAACAACTATAAATAACACCGCTAAACAAGTAAACAAATCTAAAAATTTATTTCGAAGACTTTTCCAATCAAGAACATCAGTATCAAAACCGGTAAAAAGAGAATCAGTTGCTGCACCATTTTCTGCTTATGGGCAACCAGCACCATTAATCGTGACTCAAGGTCCATTAAGAGCATTTGTTATTCGTCACGGTGAACGATTAGATCGATATTATTCATCACAATGGTTAAAACAAGCATTCGATCAAAATGGAAATTATTGTCGATTTTCACCTGTATTACCGTTAGTACATCTATTATGACTTATCAAAGATGAGTAGTAGTAAAACTATTATGACTTTTGTTTCAGTGAAACGTTACCATTGCGTAATCCAGTTAGTTCGTATGATTTAGATACCCCATTATCTTATAAAGGCATTACTGAATCGTTTTTAACTGGAACGGTTTTGCGTACAAAACAAATTCAAATTAATTATTGTTATTCATCACCGGCTATACGTTGTATTCAGACTGCAACAAAATTATTAGAAGGTTTACAATTACAAAATAAAGTAAAAATTCGGTAATTGAAATTTTTGGTTTTAAATTCATAAACAGAGAACTTCTTTCTAGTTTTTCGTTTTATTTAGAATCGAACCTGGTTTATTTGAATGTACTGGATGGTATTTGGATGAAATATCGGGTAAATATTTACAACCTCAATTTATGACAAAGGATGAATTAATTGCTAGTCATTATCCCATTGATAAATCATATAAAGAACACTTGAGTTTGAACGTACTGGCACACGCAGAAAATGAATTAGAATATTATGAGAGAAGTCATTTAATAGCATCGGTAATAATGAAACAACACGAACAAGAATTGATCAATCATATACAAGCCGATAAAGTAAATGTAAATACGGCGAGTCATGTATTGTTAGTAGGTAAGAACGATTATTGAGTTAAGTAAGAAAATGTTTAAGTCCATTCGTATTCACTGGTTCAACCAGGATTCTTAAACTTCTAAGCCGTGTGCTATAAAAAAATTGTCGTTAGACCTTGTGATTCGAACGATTCTTTTTGAGCCTCAAAAGACGGGTATACGACTGACAATTGGCCCAGTTAAACTTTTTCAAAAAAATGGCCCCGTAAGTAGTAGAAGAATATTGTCATCCATTCTTAAGTCATTTTCGTAGTCAAAACCGGACTGGTTTTTCATCGACAGGGCTCCAGTTATAGTAGACGGCTGTCAGAGCTGGACAGTTCCGACCCCTTCCGGCTCCCGCGCCCCTCCTAGAGTTTTTAAATGCGGCTCAGGCTCTCGAGTTAAGAAAACGAGAGAGAAAGAAAAGGACAAAGAAAAGAGAGAAAGAAACATACTATTGTTCTTTTGAAAATCTTTTTGAAGTACACATATACTCTATAATTGCATGATATATACATAAGGAATCTTCTTTCGAAAGCGTTACATTAAATAGAAGGAGTTCAAGGCTGAGGTAACATATATTAACATGTCATCAGCGCACACACTTATATTATTATTTGCCATATGAGTGCCATTTTTACCTCGATCGAACGTGCACACCGTCATCCGCACGCCGGCTCAATTTTTTTGAAAAAAGCTCTCGTTAGGGACCTCGGTTCTGAACATCTTTTCCACTCAGAGTTTTGCTTCAAAATGCTTGGTTCAGGCGAAACTAGCCATAGGGTTAGATAAAAAAATTTTCGGTGAGCCAAAGACCGGCGATGTTTTTAAGTTTTGAATTTTTTCTTCACGCCTTCCCGCTTTGTATAGGACACTTCGAAGTGTATGTTTGGAAGTTTTTTCGGGTTGCTGGGGCTTTTTCGGGTTACGAAATTATTTGGCTGAGAAAAAATAAATTACTTAAAACACTATTGCGCGTGTCTAGCTAACTCTAGCTGTGTAAGTAATTCCGCAACGTTTTTTGGTGATTTTGTTTTATTTGCAGAAACTTTTCAAAAAGTCAGAACTCAAAAGCGAATGAGCCATTTTGTAGACAACTCAATTCTCTATCGAATGACCTGGCTTTGAAAAGTTTTAGCGCAAATCTCTTGGTTAGAAAATTCAAAACAATGAGAGCCACTTTACAAGTTCATGAAAAAGACATGCAAAAAGTAGCTCTCAATGTTTTGAATTTCCTAACCAAGAGATTTTCGCTAAAACTTTTCAAAGCCAGGTCATTCGATAGAAAATTGAATTGTCTACAAAATGGCTCATTCACTTTTGAGTTCTGACGTTTTGAAAAGTTTCTCCAATTAAAACAAAATCACCAAAAAAAACTTTACGACCTGTCCACCTAAGGTTCGCAAAGTTAGAAATTACAGCAGCATCTCAGATATTTTTTAAAGACATATAGATCGATAGAGCTCGGTGAGCTGAACACGATGGGGTCGTCAGAATCGAGAAAATACCTTTCTGTAATGGCGATATTGGCAAAATACTGAAATTCGCGTAAAAATTGAAAAATGCACTTCTTTCGCGTATGTTGGCTGCCTTTTTTCTGCGCTTTGTTCTATGGCCTTCGGATGAAGTTTTTCGGATTAGCTCGATAAACTGCACTAAAAAACATGCTTTTCAAATTCGGATGGTTCTTGCTGGCTTCGCCGAAAAATCCGCTCGAAAAAATGCCGCCTCCGGTGGCGCGAAACTATCTAGTTTTTTACCTTAAGTCATAGAACGCTGGTTCTTGCGCCAAAAGATGCGCCTTGAAACGGAGAACAAAAGTATCTTTCTAGAGTTTCTAGGCACTTGGCAGACCTTAGAGTTACTTTCAGAAAAAATTAGGTTCAATTTACTGTAATGAAAGTTCTGCTCTTCTTTGTTCAATGGTGACGATCCTGTATGCACCTCATCTGATAGAAAAATCTTTGGGCTATTCAAAACATTATTCAGATTGGTTCCAGCTTTTACTAAAAGGGCCAAAAACAAGGAGGTTCTTGTGATTATGACAGACGGTATTGCTTAGACAACACCCGAAAGCTTCTTTTCCATATCTTTAATGACTGGCCCCACCTGTCTGATATTGTACCAGCTCACTTTGTAGACAATTTCAGGGGCTATCTAGTGGTATGTGTTCGAACAATACATAATTTTCATTAGCGAAGAAAAACAACTAACGGAGTGTTGAAAGCACTAAGATAGGTCAAAATTCTTATATTGGCCAAATATTTCAACTATTGGCCCATGTTGGATTATTTCTGAAAGACTTTTTTATGGCCCATCTTGAAGCTCGTGAAATTCTCTATTGAATGGTATATCTATCGTAGTGGCTAGTTTAGAAACGGTGATCAGGGGATCGTCACCATTGAACAAATCAGGCACTTTTCACTGCTTTCCAGGCAGTATTTCTAATGTCAAGGTACCCTAGAACGCTTTTTTCACTATCATATATATATGAACTTGTAGTCCGAGAAATTCTCTATCGAATGGTATATGTATCGTCATGGCTAGTGACCAAGTGTGGACCACAGGATCGAAAACATGCTTTTCAAATTCGGATGGTTCTTGCTGGCTTCGCC